TATCTGGACAGTTTTAATTTGTCTTGTGTCTGTGGAGTCCCTGTTTATGTAGATAAAAAGCCAAAAACAACTGGGGAATATTGTTAATCCATTGCATTGCTGCAGTGCTGTCCTGTCCAGAGGAGACGCTAGCACCCTAACATTGATTTTGTGTATCTGGAGAGATCTAAATTTGGACTGTGGTAACATCTTCAACCAAATGTTGAGTAAGGGTGAAAAGCCTGGACTAGAGCAGTGGAACAGATTGGCCTTAAAGGGAGCTAGGAGCCATTGAGATGCATGCTGCTGGCATCAGGAGAGCACTGCACTGATTCACTTAGACAAAATCTCAGGCGTGGCTGAGGTTTGAATGCATATGTTGAATGGTGACATTGCAAACTGAAACCTGAACTGTAGCTTCCATTTCAGGCCAGGAAAAAGTGCTACTCTGATTTCAGCCTATTGAGTCACCTTCCTACTTGTTTTGCCAATGTTTCCTTCAGCTAAATGGGAGAAGTCGGGAACTGAGATGTGAAATTGCTGGCTTGAAAATCAAGCCAAAAAGAAAAATCCTTCAGGGGAAACAATTGGCATCTTCATGGTTGATAAGAGGTTATTAAAATGGAGAAAATAATTGCTTGCCTTGTTACCTTTTCAGATGGAACGACTGTTGCCCTTGTACGTAATTTCTAGGCAATTACAGGTCAGGATGGAGTAATTAGATGACAGAATGATGAAAAAGAATAATTTCTTGTCTCTTATCGTGAGTTGAAGGAAGTAGGCATCACTCCTTGGAAGTAAACATTTGGCTTTGTAATGCATTAGCGTGACATATCATATTCCAGGTGCCAAGCTTGAATTCTGGTTTGCCCCTTCAGGTTCCATTCTCTTGGTTGTGAAAGCAGCATGAAGTGTGTAATTCTGCTTCCCTCATCATCTCAGATTCAGAAGGAGGACTGGGGTGAATGCTGTCCTTGCTTGATTGCAGCGTTAAATGAACAAATATATTTAATGTCATGATCTTAGTGTACAGCACTCTAGATGAAAAACCATCCATGCATGTCATTGTGTTCACATCTATTCGGCTGACTCCCCCTGGTGCTGACAGCAGCCTCCTTTTTTATTCTTTACGCTGGCCTGGAACCTGGCCCTTTTAAATAAGGATGGAGAAGGGGACACGTAGCACATAGTCTGTGCCCAGCACCCATGGTCACTTCTGAATCAGAAATGTCACCTGTGAGAAGTCCTCATGCATTGCAGCGTGGTGGCAGCGTGGGTTTTTCCTGCCGCTGCCCCAGATGGAGCAGGCCCAGTTCTCATGCTCAGCACCTCAGCCCAGTGTTTCCTGGCAGGCAGCTGTGTGCCTCCTGATGTATCTACAGCCAATGGGATGGGAAGTTAAAATGGAACAGAGGGTAGGCTGCAGAGAAAGATAGTTGTGTGGAACACACCACCTCTTACCATCGTACGTAAGATTGCTGCCTGAAGGACAGTGTCCGCTTGAACTTTGGCACCAGTGAAGATGGCAGCGAGTCCAATTTAAAATAGCTAACAAATTCTGATGTATGTCATCCGTGTTCTCGCTTCAGCTTTATAGTCTTAGGCTTAGTTAATTTGAGTTTTCTTCAGTGAGTACACCTCCAGATTCTAGATTTTAATGTATGAAGTAATTCATTAAATGAAATAACTCAAAAAAGACAGCTTGGGCCTTCTTATTTAAGGAACACGAAAGGAACATGTCCTGTGTCTGACACCAGGTAAATGACCGTTTTAATTCAGTCATCAACTGCAGAGAGAACGGCTAGAGTTAATTGGAAGTGAAGGAAAATAAGAACCAACTTGAAAAGGCAAGAAAGCTTTTTGGAAGCAGAAGCATTAGTAAAAATAAGGAATGTGAATAAATGTGTGTTGCCTGTATTCCTTCAGTGAATTTGGATGCACTCCAGCTGTTTTATGCTTTCCTGAAAATCATACAGTAAGTGCATCCCTTAATAGTGAAGTGAAATGTTTTTACAAAGAGATGCCGTTCAAATGAAATCCAGATCAATTTAATCAGGCGTTGGTTCAGTGACATCAAATTATCATTCAGGCTTGCATTTAAAACCAATCGTGAAGGCAAGTGGTAGGTTTTATGTCATTGTACATCAACTAAAATAGACCTACTCAGTCTTCGGTGCTGCCTGTTTGATTTCAGGTATTCCAAGTCCAGTTATTCACGTGCAAAGTCGTTGAATAGTTTGGTGCTGCGTTAAACGAGCGAGTTTCACTTACTAATCTTCATTTTATGAGTGGAGGGCATTAGGAGGTGAATCACTGCCATTGGCACAGCTCGCGTGCTGCTGGCAGTGCAGTGCCAAGCACCCACCTGTGGGCCAGTTCTGTGTGCTCACCAGCGCTGCTTCACATCTCCTGAATCAGTCTGTATGTAGGAATTCTGTTAGCCAGCACAGGATAACTGCGTGCCCAAGTCTTCTGGCGGGACTTTGGGTTCCAGGCTTTTTTCTGTCGTCTTTTTCTTACCTGGTGGCTGTTTGCAATGTAGACAAGTATGCTGCTGTCGTTTCTGCTCTGCTGAGTTTAAGTTGCAGAGCTTTCCCTGAAGGTAGTGTTGCTGTGCAGGCTGCCAAAGGAGCTTTTACTGGGAGGTGATGTTGCAGTAGATCTGTCCATAGCTTTTTTCCTATGATTTATGATGGTCAGAGCAATACTAGAAGATGGCAAATTAGAAGTAGATGAAGCTACTGTAATATTGATATATTTGTGTATTCCTTGGTGCATGGAACTTTACTTTTTGTTCCAGCTGTACTGTTTGTTCCCAGAGTCAGGGCACGCTTATTTTTTCTCCTTTTATCTTGCTCGTGCTCCTTCTGATCTGGTTGGGTTTTATACATTCTCTCTGAGTATTTTCTGTGTAATTTGCAGACGTGGTGAGGGCTGGAAGAAACCTGGCTGATAGCTGTTGGTTTAAAACCGTTGACTGAGTCTGTTTAGATTTTTTCTTAACATTTTTGGAGGTTAATCTGGTTTGAAAATATTTCAACGTATATAATACTAAAGAGAGCTATAGAGAAGACTTAGCAAAGTTGTTATGCCCCAAATTTGGCTGATATTTTTGCAGTTCATACAGAGTTTGTAAAGCAAAATGTGGCCAAGACCACATAGTTGCAGCGGAGGATCCATGCACAGTTGTGTTCACCAGGTAACATAAATACAGTGTGTATCCTTGCAGTCAGGTTTCTTAGAGCATAGATGGTGTTTCTTGGAGCTTTGGGATAGGTGTGACTTTATCAGCTGACTGGATTCCCACTCAGAGGTGAGCAGTGTCCCTGGAGCCAGAACAGCACTTGATTCTGAGGAAGAGGATTGTTTTGCTGCCCTAATGCTGTTGAGTTAAAATGTTGCAACACCAGCCTCCCAACATCTGATACAGCACCTATGTGACAAGTTCTACCTGGGATTCTGCTTCAGTTCAGAAGCCTGAGTCTTTAACCTGATCTGTGTATTTCTGTACCTCAGTGGAGTATAGTTCATAGTCTGTCCTACAACAGTAGGAATCCTCCAGCTTCCACCTTCCTCAATTTCCTTCATTTCCACACTGTGCTCCTTATATTATCTGCAGTTGCTGCTTCTTTCAACCAAGTTACTGTAAGGGGCAGAACTGTACAAGTGTGTACACAAGGGTGTAGGATGGAAAAGGTATGAATTGCAGAACACTCTTAGTCCAGGAGCAGCATCCAGACAAGCTCCTTGGAGAAAGTGCTGGTACTTCTGTTGGCTGGAATTGATTTCCTTGCCTGCAAATGGGAAGCCCCTAGATTGACTCGTGCAATTAAAAAGCAGCCACCACCACTGAACCTCTGAACCAGAAATTGATAAATGTGTGCTTCTGTTTGATCTGGCACAGGCTTCAGCCACTTACTGAAAGTGATTTTTGCTGAAATTAACTTGCTTCATATGGGTGCTTGTTAGGAAATGTTCCAGTGTAGTACCTCAAGAACATTTGGTTCACAAACACTGAAAACTGGTGTAGAAGGTTTCATGGTGTTGCACTGAACAGAAACAGGAAGGAACTGAGTTGGAGCTTTTTGCAACCCTGACACAATCACAGTGGTGTGTGTGAGCCTTGAAAGGCCACCTCTGCTGTAAGTCTAGAAGCTTAGTGTCAGGGAAGCAGGCAGTTTAGGGAAATGTTTGGTTTGTAAATAGGTTTGAGCATTTAAAAGAATTGTTGTAGAAGGGGAGTCTTTGGAGTTCTCTTTGTTTGAAGGTCTCCTGGAGAAGTAGGGGAGGAGGCATTTTTTCCAAGGGATGTCCCATTTTGTGGCTCTGATGTTCCTGAGAGCTTTTTGTTGCATGGAATTTCAGCAAGGAAGTGCCATAGAGTTGATAATCCTGTTGCAGGGCTTGCTGTTTTCCTTGGAATTTCTCATCTCAACAGAGATGAGATTATTAGAAGCACCTGCTGTATTACCCAGTGCTGGTCAAATGCTGACTTGCTTATTGCCATCCTCTCTTAAAAGAGGCTATTGATCCATCCACAGGGTTCATCTGGATGGATCTGAGGCTGTGAAGTGTTGTGGATGGCATTTGTTTTCTCCTTTTGGTTTCCACTTCTTGGAGGGTTTAAGCAGTAGCTGCTTTATGAATGTTTGGTCAGAATTGTTTCCTTCTCTACTTTGCTGCTTAATTTTTGTCTGTGTGTATCATTCAGTTTTTGGTTCCTGCTTTTCAAAATTAGACTGTTTGTTGTTGTTAGCAGTACCCCAGCACTGGCACTTGACTGTAACAAATAATGTATTTTGCTCGTGTGTTTTCTTGTGAAAACGCTCTGGGCTCAGGCTTCTCAGTTAGTTTCATTATTTGCTTTGTGTCCTGGGTAAAATGTTACCATTCTTGGGGGCTTAGGAGTTTAGTTGTTAGCATCTCTTGGTCATCTGCATTTGATGTTCTAGTGGAAATAAAATTAAGTGAAATGCTGAAATTTAAGTTTAGGTTTAATTCCTTTACTGTTTTTCTTCTAGAACAAATTCTGTACAACATAAAACAGGAGTACAAACGCATGCAGAAGAGGAGACACTTAGAAAATAGCTTCCAGCAGACAGATCCTTGTTGTTCTACTGATGCACAGCCACATGCATTTCTTCTTACTGGACCAGCTTTGCCAGGTAACCAGAGCATTCTGTGTAATTTTGGTGTGCGTTCTCAGATTCTGAGGAAATAATTTTCCCTTTTTGCTGCCTGTGTTGTTGCACTTTCTCACCAGCGATGGTTTCTTTTTTTGGGGGGGGGCAATAATAGCATTAATCTGGAAGCTTACCAGGTTTTCTTCTTTCCCTGTTACTGATCTTGTAATAGGCAAGGTTACAAAGCAGCTGTCTTCGCAAAAATACATTGTGGTTTTAATATAAAATAGAAGCTTGAGTTTGTAAATGGCAACTGTCATTTGTGCTACACTGTGTAACGCTCCTGGTTTTTGAAAGAGATGTCCTCCTTTTACAGCTAAGATTCTCTTTAATTTGAAGTTTTGAAGTGGCTCTTGAAACTCTTGAGAGAAACACAGAAACTCTTCTCCAAATAATTTGTAAAATTCCTTTAGCATAAAAGGTGTGAGGAAAACGGGTTATAGTACTGGCTCTGAACTCCTTGCAAGCAGGACTTGGGTTATGCTTCAATATTTTTGTCTTAGGTACTTCATCTGCAGCATCATCACCATTGAAAAAAGAACAGCCTCTGTTTACTCTCAGACAAGTTGGAATGATCTGTGAACGTTTGCTGAAAGAACGTGAAGAGAAAATTCGTGAAGAGTATGAAGAAATTTTGACCACAAAACTTGCAGGTATATTAATGGGTCAAAATAATGTGCTAGCATGAATTCAAAAGCTTTTTTTTTTTTCTTCTCATCTTTGTATTATGCCATGGTGTTTTTTCCCAGAGTTAGTCTGATGAAGGAATGAGATTGCATACAGGGCAGATAAAGCTGTGTAGACTCTTTGATAGGATTTTCTGTTCTGCGCTGCTTTGGATAGAAACTGTGACTCCTGGGTATTACTAATCAATGGAAACAGAGGTTTTATTTCACACAGAACTTTCTCTCGCTGCTGTGTTGGAATTGATCATTTCCTCTTCATTTTTTTTTGCCAGAAAGACTTTCTATTTTACTTCTTTAAGAGCTCTTTGTGAAGGATTTTTTTTTTCCTGCTTGGAAACTGACTTCCTTTTTCTGGAATTTGGCAAGAAGACACAGTACCTAAGATTTCCCTGTCTCTTCCCAGTACTTACATTACACTGCTGCCAGTGGTGTTGGGTAGCTGCTTCAGTGTCAGTAATTTAGCTGCATTTCTGTTCCCCTGTGTTGAATTCTTGCTTTTTCTACCAATCAGCCTCGTGTCAGCTTAGCTTTTGATAAGGATCTTGTTAATGCCAGCATTGTAAAAAGGACTTTTCTTCAGTTGTCAGTGTCTTCTAAGTGCTTTGCTAACATCTGAGGACCTAATTTTGATGTGTTCAGAGGTAGGTGCCTTCACAATATGATGTGGTGTCTAATGCTTAGTATGATTGTAACGAGCATTTCAGGACACTCTTTGGCAGTGAGCTTGCTTTTGAATACCTGTTGCCGTTGTGTCCCACCTGAAAACCCATCAGATTAAAGTTAGCAAATCTCTGCATTCAGGAGCCAGCCCTTCTGTGGCGTCGCTCCTGCGGAAGGTCACCAGGCTTGTGTCAGACTGCTGGGTTGCACACAGCGGCCTTGTGTCTGCACCTGAGTCTGTGTTCACGTTCTGTGCTTTCTGATCTGCCACCCTGAAGTCAGTGTTTTTTCAGTATATAACTAGCCCTATGTACTTAGTTTTCTTTGGACCTAATGTTTCATTTCTAGATTTTTCTTTCTTAACCTGATTCAGACTGATTAATTGAAACTAGAGTCTTTTTTTTCTTCTAACTTATGTATGTTAGGAATGGAGTCCTTTCTTACATTCTTAGATGCATTTCATTTAGCAGTGATGATAATAACTAATTGAAGACCAGATAAGCTCATTGATTTGTCTCAGTCTTTGAGTACAACTTGCAGTTCTTTACAGCAAGAACCTCTGGGATTGTGTGCTCTTGTGTCAGTCTGAAAGGGAACTTCTGGGAAGGAGAACAGCACCTTCTCTCAGGGCCTGAGGGCAGCATACAGTGAGATGAGATTAGGTTTATTTCCTTGTAGGGTGATCTCCAGAAGAACTAGTTATTGCATCCCATATATCGTACCAGTAGTGAATTCTTAGTAGTGAATTACCCAGGAATTTAGAAATAAACTGCTGGAAGAATTGGGCATAATTCCTCCCACAGACCACTTGCATCTTTCTGCTGACAGAAAGTGAGAGTGATTATATCCTTTTCTTAGCTCTGTACAGTGAGGTGATAACTCATTCTTACAGACGAGTGAAATTAATGAAAATGTAACTGGAAATTGTGTAACAAATACTGACTAGCTTCTTTCAAGTGACTGAATGGAATTTTTGAATATTTTCTTCGTTCCTTTCCTGAATCATGCTTTTCTTGGAGGTAGTTAGCCAGATACTGCCTTTGTTTTCCTCTGCCATGTTCTTTGTGAGCAGAATTGCTTTTCACGTAGTGTGAGTGATGGAGTGATGAATGGAAAGGTGAGGTCTCTGTAATGCCCCGATTTCCCCTCCTGTCTCTGTTATTTGAAACCTCTGTTAGTGTAAATTTGGGTTTGCAAAATCCTTTGCAGATTTGAGAACCAGAGGGAAGACCGCAAGGGGCTAAGTGAAACCTCTGCTTGGAAACAGTTCTAGAACCCTCTTGTGAAAAATAGCTCTATTACTGCAGTTCAAGTTATGTATTCATAGTAACAGGGCTTGTATTTGTGGCATTTAGCCATCTTTTGACTTGAAGTAGCTAAAACCTGTCCTAGGGGGTTCCAGTGGTACAAGTATCTTTACAGGTGTTCATTTCAGTTTTCATCAGCTTACTATAGATCACTTTTACCTTTGGATTCCTTAGCTTTCTTATGCTGAATGCCACAAGAAGGGGTTTTTCATTAATTGTAGATTCTTAAAATTACCAAAACCAGATTTTTAGCAGAGATGGTGCTACAAAGTGGCTGTGTGTGTGGACTTAAACCTGTAAAGAAGAAAGCTTGTAGGTTTATTTCTGGCCTTTAATACATTCTTTCAGGAAAAGTTCCAGTTGCTGTTGGTTTTGGAAATGGTTTCTGGGCATCAAATCCTTCAATCTGCTCTTTGTGTTATTTTGTTGTTTGGCTGAGATCCTCACGTGGCTGCTGAAAAGCCATCAGTCAGAACTGCAGTGAGACAGAGGTTGTGCTTGTGGGCAGAGGGGAACTGGCCGCCACGGTGCTGGGCCTCCTCGCTCAAGGATGAGTGTCCTCAGATGGCCGGGCTTTGGGCTGCTGCTGCACTGCTTGCTGATTACTGATACGCTGTTTACTTCAAAGGTGAAGCTCCTCCCTGCAAGAGGATGGGGACTTTAATGGGGCAAACCTGTGGGACTAGGAACTGCTCCAAATCTAACTGCATTTTTGGTTGAAGATTGCCTTCTTTGACCTTGCCCTTTTCTCAGAACACCCCACATTGCTGCACATGTATTTTTCCACAAGGGAGGAAGGGGAATGGAGAGGAGCGGCATCTGGTAGATATTACTCTCCTTGTTCAATTTCCTAGTTCTGAAAGGTGATATCCTGCTGATGAGTGCACTATTAATACTGAACAAAATATTGCGAATGTATGGATGTGTGCATAGAAATGATAGTATTTCTGGGAAATAATGCTTAGTTCAAAGCCAGGTAAATACATTTGGTATCTCAGTTCCATTTCAGATCACTCAGTGGCTCTTCTCATGAAGTTCAGAGTCAGCTGCATCTCCCTGTTGTGGCTGCTTTTGTGACTAGAATTAGTCAAGCGTTAGCCACTTCACATCTCAGCTTTTAGTTTGTCTGTGCTTTTGATTTCCTGGCAGAAAGTATTTCTAACTCTGTAACAAATCCTTTTCCCATACTTCTTTGTTTCCATTTCATTAATTTTTTTACATCTGATAGTGATAGGAGCAGTGGGAAGTTACACTTCCAATGCTAGCACTGACCATAATGCCACGTTTGTTTAACTCCTTTGCCTGTAATAGGCATCTGTGAAATGGGCACATTGAGTTACTTGAAAACATTCTGACTTAGCAGGTACTAGGTATATTGAGATCTTTGTGTGTGCATGTGATGCACTTATCTGGGAGAGTACTACTGCTTTTCTGTGGGAAATCCTTTCAATTTAGGGGACGTACTGCAGTGTTGTTCTTTGGGATTGGAGAAGAATGGCAGCTGTGAGCTGTGTGAAGGCACTTGAAGCTACTCCTAGTGGATGTGTGTTTAATTGCTATGATCTGTATGGTATGAAAAGTAGCCTTAAATATTTTTCAGCCTGAGTTAATCTTAATACTCACACTTGTGATGTTTCATGCTTGCAGAACAATACGACGCGTTTGTGAAGTTCACGCATGATCAAATCATGCGACGATATGGAGAACAGCCCGCCAGTTGTGAGTATCGATTTCCTCCGCCTCCTGCAGCAGCGTTAGGTGACTGACCTTGCGGTAGCTTACATGGCCATTGTTTGATGCTGGGCTTCAGCGAGGCCCCGCGGTACAAATGCTTGACGTTGACAGTATGGAGAGTCGAGGTTGAAAGGAAGACGTGTGATAGAATGCGGCTCTCGCTTAAAACACGGAGCCGTCTCCCATTCCGTGCTGATTTTCGGAACAACTTTGGGTGCTGCCGTAGCAGATTTGCACAGACCTGGCTCTTGTTAACTGCATTATTAATCCCTGTTTTTTTTCTCTTCGCAGACGTTTCATGAATCACATTTTCTGCATATGTGGGCTGCCCTATCCACCCCGTTTTATTGTTGCAAGCTGTCCCAGTAATGACTTGCAGCAATGCCATATTTTTTCCCCCTGTGAACACAGGTTATTTCAAGCTTTTGTCAGTGGCAACCACTCTTATGCAGCAACTGGTTTTGGAGTGCTCCCTGATGTCAGTACCACCTGGATGTGGACCTTTGCTACCTGTAATAATACCAGTGGCCTCATTTGCTGTATCATTACAATTTGGCTTCTTATGTTAATAAGTTTGAAAAAGTAAAGGATTAAAGCTGATGTTCTAGAAGTTGCCCTTCACTGGTTGTGTAAATAAAAATGTAGAATGACACTTCTGACTGAAGTTAGTGTGGTTTTCATAACTGTGCACTACAACAAAGCTGTAATCACAGTTAAATTAGAATGTAATCCCAGGACAATTTTAAGCAAATAGCCCACAGTACTGCCTGTGAAATAGTGAAGGAGGGCATTTCTGTATTCCATGACTTTTTTGGGGGTTAAGAATGGGTTTATATGATTTCTCATTTTTGTAGTTTTTATTTATTCTCTCAGTCTTTAACAAATGTTTATTGCTGCAATTTTTCAGTGTATCATTGTTTTACTGCCCTTGTAGTACTGGAATTTAGTTGGAAGAATAAAACATTTACTTCTAATCTGTTTGTTTTTAATACGCAGGTGGAACTTTTGCCGTGTGTGAATAAACTGAAATCTGAGTGTTTAAATGAAAACTTTATTTACCAGCAGCAGTAGGTGGGTCAGAATTTTTAGACAAGGAAAAAAGTGGATGAAAATGTTACGTAAGCCTTCAGAGGCCGCAAATTGTGTTAGGATGGATGCGGTCTGTAGTTACGGAGGCATGTTTGTTATACAACTGCCAGTGCTGCTTTAAGCGACTGCCGCTGACTCAACAGCTGTGCTCATCTTCCTTCAGTTCTGAGTGACACATCAAAGGAGATGTGCTCACAGATAGAGCGGCTGCTTGCACCACAAGCTGCAACTACCCAGGTGCTGGGAGAGCTGGAGGTGTGCAATCTCTGTGTGCTGGTCCAGGAGTTTGTTCTTAGATACGCTCAGCTGTTTCCAAACTGCTGTATCAGGGGTGGCTGCCGTTGTCTGTGCAGTTCTGAGTCACTGTAAATGACTGAAATGTTGTTGCTACACAGTGATTCCAGATCTCTGTGCTATGGGTACAAGTATTGCTCATCACATTACTTGGATTATGGTTCTGGGACTTGGGAGCTTTTTTGAAGTAATCTCTTGGTTAAAGCGTTCTCTGCATTCACTTACTGTCAGCCTCCGCTTAAGTGGAAGTCTGTATGCCTCCACTTCAAATTAATGGGGAAAAGTTTAGTTGAAATGTAATTGTAACTTCAGCTGCTAGATCTACACAGTCGTAGGGTTCTAGAAGAGCCATGTGAGTTGGCTTTTCATGATGGCTCTTCATGAATTTTATTTCCTTTAGTAGTGACATAGGTGCAGAATTATGCACAAAGCCGCAGTATCTGTTTTCTGCATGCTTTCCCAAAGTTTATTTGACTTTATCTGACCTCTAAAAAGAGTATTTTCTTCTTAACTGTATTTCAGAATGGTTGAGATAAGAACTCTGTTACTTTTGGGTCTTCCATTGCTGAACGTAATGACAAAACTGTTGGGGGCTGTCACTTCTGTTTTCTGCCTTGGGGTTCTCAGCCCCTCCTTACTCCTCAGATCCCCACGTGTTCACCTTGTCCAGACAAGGAAAGCTCCCAGATGGACCACTGCAGAATTCCAGCAGCCATTGCACCTCCTTTATCACCTGTGTTCCAAGGGTCCTCGTTCTGGTTTGATAGAAATCAGTACATGCCTGAGAATTGGTGGTAGAGTTAAAATAACAGCTGTTGTGATTGTGTCTCAGCTAATCTTAACTTTCAGGATATTAAGAGCCATTAGAAACAAGAAGTGATGTCATGCTAGTACCCAGTTATTCCTGTGCTGCCCCATGTTCATGCATAGTAAACAGCCTGCTGGCAGATGAATGCCACGCGGGTGCCTGTGCATCACAGCTGCAGTATGCTTCATCTGCGCCTCTTTGGAAAATAAGGTTGCATTCTTTGAAGTCTTTTTTTTACCTGCTGCTTGGATGGACTCCTTTCTGTAAGCTCAGTGATTGATAGCTGATGTGATGACTGTTGCACATCAGGCTTGCAATAGCTAGCATGCTCATCGGTGGGAAAATGGTTGGCTGCTTTTTTTCTATGGTTATGTGATGGAGTCTGGTGGTGCTTAAAGAACACATCTGCTTTGGCAGCTTTTCAGAGGTGTTGTGGAGGGCTTAGAGATACATTAGAAAGGGGTAAGAGTAACTTTTTTTTTTCTTTCCTATTTCTATTTATCTGCAGTCCAAAAGCAAGGCAAATAGAGGGCAGTTCATTGCAGCTTTGCAGCGTCAAAGATCTTGGTTAACCTGTTTTTAAGCTAGTGATGCTTAAAATCTTTCCAGGCAGACTTTGGTTACTGTAAAGTGAGAAAGCAGCATGTACATTGTGTGTGGATTTTTGTCTAGATAAGGAAGCACGGAACCATAAAGATTCTTCAGTGTTTTTCAAAGCTGAAAAGGAAGGGGATGCGTGCAGTCCTGTGCTGGTGCTCGAGACCTGCTATGTGGTCTTACACAGCAGGACTGTTAGCGCAGTGTGGGCAGGAGCTGTGCTGTGAAGGCTCACTCTGGGCATGAGCTGGTCATTGGGAATGATTTACCTCTGTGATTCCACAGCCGGTTTGTGCTCCCATTGTGGAGCGTTTTGCAGAGAAGTAATTCTCAGGTGAAATATGTGAGGATGAATGTTTGGCTTTAGCAGTGGTTTGTCCTGCCTTACTGTTGCAATAGGATCTTTCACTGTTTACCTTCGCAAGTTTCTTGTGTTTGACATCAGCAAGGAGGCTATCAGGGAACAGCAAAAACCTTCAAATGTTACAGCAGAGAAAAATAGTGAATTCTTCCAACAGTGAACATTCAGGGTTGAGGTTTCTGCAGTACTGCTGAAAGCTGCAGGCACTGCATACAGTACATGTCAGCTACAGTGAGCAAGGGTGAGTTCTGAGTATTTACAAGAAATGGTAGTAAAAACATTGAGAGAAGACAAATGCATTCTACATGGGCACATCGTGTACTGTTACAGATTGCTTCCCTTTATTACTGAATATTTGAGCTCTTTAGGTCTGAAAGTGAGCTGTTGGGGCCCAGTCTTGTATTTGGCTACATTAGGTGGCAGGTTGCAGGCAGTGTGAGGTGCGCTTGGCTGCGCGTCCTGCTGAGCAGTCAGATATTGGGCTGTTCTGCTGCTCACTTCCATTTTTCAAATGTACTTGCAACATAAATAGGTCAGGTTGAGAATACAGAATGCTTACATAGCATCCCACATCTACTGAAATCTCCTTTCTGCTTGGAAATTTCACAAGTACAAATGCAACATAGCACGGCCGGTGCCACCAGCTTGGGCTCTTGAGTCGATTTGGTGGGAGAGAGAAAATTTCAGTTGCTCAACAAGATCCTAGAAGTTCTTGCTTTGAGTTTTTGTCGAGGTGTTTCCGACGTTGCAGGATTAGGCATTATAAAAGCTGATAACTTTTCTTGCTCAGCCTTGACACCATTCAGAACATAGTCCAGCAGGAAGCATTAGTTGTGTCTCTGCAGTTATAAAGATGCAAAAATACGTGGCTCCTGTTCTTTCTCAGGATACTTTAACATAACTTCTATCTGCTCCTGGGAAATAGCTTAAGTTCTAGGTTTTTGTGATAGGACTTACCCTGTTCTTGCACAGCTGTATTTTACTCATGTGATTCAAACTTCAGAGCTCTGCTATCATTCCCAACTGCTATGTGAAGGCTGGAGTACAATGCAGCAAAGAGGAAAGCATCAGGATTCCAGTGACAGCTGAATGTCTGCACCCAGTGCAGCACTTCCATACCTCTAACCAAAGGAAAGCAGAGGCAGTCAGCTGAGAGTCTGGAAGGTGTTCTTGGTGTTCTTGGTCTTTTGCAATAAGCTGAATAATTACCATTGAGCTTAGCACAGTCTAAATGTTTTCCTAACAGTGCAGCCCTTTGCTGGGTGATGAAGGCTGAGCTGAAGGCTCCAACCATACAGCTGAGCTGCTGCAGCCTGGGGACAGTCATGTTTATCACACATAGCAGACGTTCACCCTGTTCTGGAGGGAAAAGCAGCTTTTCCTTGTTAGTTTGGAAGGGTTTTTCCATGATTGGAAAATGGGACAATGACATCAGCATGAACTCATTTGCTGCCCAAATTTGAGTGAGTAAAGTTAAAGCTTGACGTGTAAGACGCGTAGCATAGCTTGTGTGCGGCAAAGAAAAAAGGGGTCACTTGGGCAGTGCCAGGGCTCAGCATCCTGGCTTTCTCACTGCAGGGCCAAGTGCCTTCACAGGATCTGTCCCCAAGGCAGTTACTGGCTGAAGATGCCAGAAGAGCAGTGCTTTAGTGCTCCTAGCCAATAGATGACACAAATTCCCCAACAGCAAATCAGCTAGTGCTGGTCAGCTTCACTGGAGCAATGTACAGCTTGCTTCTCTTTGCAGAGAACAAACACCTGCATTGTCATAATTCCATCCCTTCCTCTTCTGATCAAGTTTTTCAAGGTGCTATGATGACTTCTGGTTTGAAAGACACGGAGCAACTGCTGAGGGTGGGAGCTTGGTGTCTTTTTTTTACTAAATGTGTAGTTCAAGGATCTGGAATGCATTTTATAGTTATGATTCAATTACTATCTGATTATGAGCAAGTTAATGCTACTGCTTCATCGCTGCTGCAGCTGACACATCCAGTGTTCTCATTTTGGCTTGGTAGCCTGAATTAGATCAGTATAGCGTTGACTATCCTACATCAAAGAACATTAAAACGAGTGCAACGCTGCAGTACTTGGATCATGAGCAGTACATTACAGTATGGAGGCAGATGTTTAAAAACAAAATGGTTACTGAAGTTACTCGGAACACAGCTCAGCATTCAGTCATCTCCAACACTGACTCAGTTATACAAAGACTGGTTGAGTGGGAGCACAGCCATTGCACCAGGTTACAAAGAACAGCTTTATTAAGGTTGTGGTGGCACATTAACAGCCTCCCCAGGTCAGCCGTGCCACGTGATCTGTCTTCTGCTTGCTGGGCTTTATGAAGCCCAGGAGTTCCAGTTCAGAAACAGCTCGAATAAAACGAGCGCTGGACACGTCTGTAAAGGAAACTCTTTTTATGGCAGTAATTGACAGGGAAACCATTATGTTACAGAGGGAAAGACTTCTAATTACAGCGTGCATACAGGACACAAAACATTGTGCTGTGCGCTAGAAGTGTTGGAAATGAGGACAGCACGGCCAGCCTATGGAAGCACAAATATTCAACCAGTATTTCTTCTTGCCACCTGAATACAATGTGGTAACAAAGAAAGAGTTCCTTTACACGCTGCTAAGAAAAGCATAAAACCTACAAAGATATTAATTCTCTCAGAAGAATGTCCCTTGACAAGAAAATAGGAAGATAAGTAATAGATTTTTTTGGGGGGTGGTTTCATAAAAAGAGCATCAGCTTTTCTTTACTCACTATTCATTATATCCTTACTGCATCATGTCTGACACAGCTATATGACTGAGAGATAAACAGA